AGAGTTGATGCTTTTGAGTTGTGGTGCTGGCGAAGAATGCTGAAAGTACCATGGACTGCTAAAAGAACTAACAGATCTGTCCTGGAGGAAGTGCAGCCACAATGCTCCTTGGAAGCGAGAATGGCCAGACTTCATCTCACCTATTTTTTGTCATGTTGTCAGAAGGGACCATTCCCTGGAGAAGGATGTCATGCTTGGTGGGGTGGAGGGTCGACGAAGGAGAGGGAGGCCTTCAACGAGATGGATTGACACAGTGGCTGCGATGGTGGGCTCAAGTATAGCGGGGATTGTGGGGCTGGTGCAGGATCGGGCAGTGTTTTGTTCTGCTGTGCATGGGGTCTCTATGAGTCGGAAACGACTCGACGGCACTTAACAACAACAACAACATTTCAATATGCTATTGTGGTACCAATTTGTAGTCTCAGTTTAAAGTGAATTATTCTTTGCACTTACCAATTATAAGAGAGGTCCTGGTTATTTCCTTCAGTTATAGCTGTCAAGGAGCAACTATGAAAAAGTTATTTGGCCCTCGATTGCTGTAAAGCTACCCAGAAGAAAAGAATGTGGTATTTACAGACATAACCTACAGTCAAACATAGAAAGAAAGAAACGTTCTACGTTACACAGGAAGTTGTACATTTATATAATTTATAGACCATTAGGAAGTGTTCATGTTGCTTCAAAGACTTGACAAAAACAATGTGCTTCATCTCCAAGCATTCTCTCTGGATACACTGTACATAAATGTGTTTTCTTCAGCTTTTTATTGTTTATTCTTCAGCCTTGAGTATTCAAGGAAATGCCAGGGTTTCACCTGGAGAAAATGTGGTCAAGATTCACTGCCTCTGCCAAAAAAGCTTCTACTTCAGTTTCACAATGCACTCTGCTTTGCCAGCAAACCAGGGGAGGGCCAGCATACGCTAACCCTTGGTGATGGCTAAATATAGGTGCCTCTGTCAGTGCAGCAAACAGAAAGTGTAAACATCGACCATCGTTTTAAAGAAATAGATTGTTTTCAGTTTTGATTCATTAGCATATGGCAAAAACATGTCATTGTACACTTTATTCATAAAACTTGCGATTAAGTTAAAGCCTGTCCCAACCGCCTTGGAAACACAAGAATCCATCCCCAAAGCATATTGAAACAGTAATACAATATCCATTGTTTCTAGCTCTAAGCTGGGCACCTGTGTTTTCCCACTCACCCTTCTGTGTGCCCTGAGAATAGAAGACCTGGCCCAAGGTGGGGTTTGAATCTGGTCCAGTGCTCTCTTCTGGACTCGACAGCAGTGGGTTTTGGGTTTAGAATTGAACAAAGCAAATGCTCTTTAAACTAGGCCTCTTGGGTGATAAATAATTGCTAAGTACTTTGATAGACTACTCTAGTTTCAAAATATCTGTAACTCTTAAAATACTTAGCAAAAATACCTGCAGTGTTTTTATTTAGAAGCAGTGTATTAAAACAGAGAAGTATGCTCCAGTGAGTAGGAGCTCCAGTGGAGGTTAACAGCTTAGGCAATGCAGACAGCTGCACTCATGTCCTCACCCTGACTCCTTGCCACCCACCAACCATGACACTTTGGAGGAGTTACTCAACTTCTTTTAAAAAAAACTATTTGCCTACAAGTCTGTTTCAACTTGTGGTGACCCCATCAGTTACCCAGTAGAACTGCCTCATAATACTTTCTTGGCTATAAGCTTTACAGAAGCAGATCTCCAGGTCTTCTTCAACAGCTGGGGAGGTTGATCCCCCAACCTTGTCATTAGCAGCTGAAGGAGTTTAACTATTGCACTACTAGGGCTCCTTGATAAATGTTTATGCAAGTGAATATATAAAGTCAGTCTGTTTCCTTGGCTGAAGTGACCATAAACCATCTTGGAGAAAAGTAGGGGGCTTGGGACACAAAGTAGGGAGACAAGGACACAAAGTAGGGAGACAAGGAGGACAGAAAATGAATTGCTTATTTGAGAAAGCTGTAAGAAATGCTTTGTACTGCTCTGGTTTTAAAAAAAAAGGCATCTGAATAAGCATGTGTGTATTTGCTGTACAGTACTTGGAATCTTACTTTATTTGAAAAGCTCATCAAGATCCATCCCCAACCCCACTTGATCATGCTGTAAAATCCTCTTATTATGCTGTTGGATTTGATTTGCTAGTATTTTGTGAGGGTTTATGTATCAATATTCATAAAGGATTAAAAAAAAAGAAAAAAAGAATCCATCCCCAAAGCATATTGAAACAGTAATACAATATCCATTGCTTCTAGCGCTAAGCTACACACCTGTGCTTTCCCAGTCACCCTGCTGTGTGCCCTGAGAATAGAGGACCTGGCCCAAGGTGGGGTTTGAATCCGGTCCAGTGCTCTCTTCTGTGCACTGGAGCTGGACCCCCTTGGCTTTGCTTCAACCCTTTCTCCCGACATGAATCTATGACAAGATTCAGGAACTTTACACTGGAAATTGTTTCAAATAATGCTGCTCTCTCTGCAGGAAGACGCACACTTCTGCGGTGTTGAGATGTTGACACCGTGAGGGCCTGACTTACTTCCCCCAGCTGTGCCATCCTGGCTGCCACCATGGGGCCTGCAGGGAGTCTGCTGAGTGACAGCGGGGAGCTGCACATCATTCTGTGGGGAAGTTTGGCAGCTGTGGCCACTTTTCTCCTCATCACCTTCCTCATCTTTCTGTGCTCCAGCTGTGACAGGTGAGCGCCCAGAACTGTCTCCTGCAGCCTTAAAGGGACATACTCGCTGTACCCTGAAGGCTTTTTAATTTTTTTTTTTATCTTTGCCTTGTTCCTCATCAAAGTGGGATAACATTCAACCATTCACCAATATGTCGGATATTACACATAGGTTATTATTATTATTTATTTCAATGCGTAAAACAACCTCATGAGGTAGGGACTAATGTTATCCCCGTTTAACAGATTTCAAACACTGAATCACAGTGAACAACATGCAGCACAGCTAGTGAGTGACAGAACTGGGCTGGGACCCAAGCAACCTGGCCCAGAGGTTTTGCTCTCTTCACTGCTCCACTCTACCACTTCTCAGCTTAAGATGTCCCAAGCATAGCTCCTCCTCGCTCCCCTAGAGCTATTGTCCAGAACATACCTTATGGAACTAGTGATTTTCGGTAAGGCTTGTTTTGAGAGAAAAAATGCTTGTCAGTCATTGTTCAAGAGGCCACCCAATACTACTTGCTTGTTACCTCTTTGAAGAACAGAAAACATTCCCATCGCAGGAACATGGTGGACCTCCTACTGGATATTTTTAGTGACTGGATTTCCTGTATAACTTGGTGACCCTGGGGGCCATCTGGTTTGCCCAAGGTCAGACAGTACATGATGAAGTGGTGTGGGGTTAGTTCCTTGTCGCACAGTTTGAGGTGTATTGTGAGAAAGAAGATAACAAACTTCTCTTTGCATGTCCCTTGGCTCTCTGGGGGAAGCCCAAACCCACTGCCATGGAGTTGATTCTGACTCATACTGACCCTTTAGGACAGAGTAGAACTGCCCCATAGAGTTTCCAAGGCTGTAAATCTTTACGTAAGCAGACTGCCTCATCTCTCTCCCATGGAACAGCTGGTGGGTTTAAACCAGTGACCTTGCAGTTAGCAGCCTAATGTTTTAAGCCATGTACCACCAGACCTCCTTGGGGGAAGCCCAGAAGACTCGTTATGTGAAAATTCTGTTATAAATGAAATCCCATGGTATAGATGTTAACAGCAACTTGGTATAGACTTTCACAGAAATTAATTTACCTCTCTCAATAATTAATTTTTTCATTAATTAAATGAAAATTCATGTCTTATTTGGGCACCCTTCTATTTATAACTTCCTAGAATGAAATGATTGCCATTCTTCTGAGCACATTCTTGTTGGAATGTATGCTGGCTTTTTCCCGTTCTTGGCCATTTCACAATGTGAGTGTTATGTGCATTAAAGATACTTTGTTTGCCCCCACTTAGAAGTTACTGAGAACTCTTGTTTAAGAATTTGTAATCTAGAACTTCAGTTGGTTTTTAAGAAACAGATTAAAAAGAAAAGTATTTTAAAAGAAAGAGAGACAGAGATGCTGTATAGGAAAATACTATCATTTATGTCTTTTTAAAGAATTCTTTTCTCTCTCGTAAAACATCAACACCCTAGAAAACAGTCTACTGGACAGCAACTTGTTACTGTTTACTGACTACCCCCAGAAAAAGATCTTTTGCTCAGAGAGAAGTGAAGCTTTTTCTAGCCAGGAGTGATGTTTTCCAGACATTTAGCCGTGTTGCAATGTGTCCACAAGCATGCACAGAGAGCCCTGTGTGGAATGGAAGTAGCTGAAAATTAGCCAGCTCTCTTCCAAAACGTTCTCCTCAGTAACCTCAGAAGAAATTGCCATAAGCGTCTTTTAAAAGTCTGGATATGAATTCCTACCATAAAATTCTGTCAAGAGGGGAAATGTTGGGCTGATGATCCCAAATAGCTTCCTAATCCTTAACCAATTAGGATGCAGTCCTCCACTGAAAAGCCATCAATTGACCAGGAAGAAATGAATTGAGTCATAAACTTTTAAGAAACTCTAGTGGTGTGGTAGGAGCTCTGGTGGCATAGTGCCTAAGGTGTTTGTCTGCTAACCAGAAGGCTGGTGGTTCAAACCCACCAGGCACTCCACGGAAGGAAGGTTGGGCAATCTACTTCTGTAGTGATGTTGTTGTTGTTATGTGCCATCGAGTGGGACCCTACTCATAGTGACCCCTCCTTGGGTTTCTGAGGCAGTATCACTACAGAAGTAGATTGCCCAACCTTCCTTCCGAGGAGTGGCTGTTGGGCTTGGACCGTCAGCCTTATGGTTAGCAGTTAAGTGCCTTAGTGATACCACCTCGGAAACTGAAGGGAGGGGTCGCTATGAGTCGGATCCAACTCTGCGGCAGTGAGTGTGGTAAAGCATTGGGCTGCTAACCAAAAGGTCAGTGGTTTGAAACCACCACCTGCTCCATGGGAGTAAGATGAAGCAGTCTGCTTCTGCAAAGATTGACAACCTTAGCAACCCCATGGGGTAGTTCTGCTTTACCCTAATTGCTATGAATAAGAATAGATTGAATGGTGGTGAGTTTGGTTTGGGTTTTCAGCTTTGAGTGCCGGCTCCCTGTGCTTGGCAGGACTGCTTCTGTCATTATTCAGTCTCCCACTAGGTGTTGCTCTTGCCTTATAGATATGGAAAATAGAGTCTACTACTAAAGGCTTTCCTTATCCTGCCCAGAGTAAAAACAGACTCTATTTTTACTCTACAGACTTTTCCATGGACTGGAAGCACAGATGACTCATTCTGAGAGCATGTACCCTTCCTGACGTGCCAAAACTTGCATTAGATTTATGATTATTTTCTCAAGTCCATTGCAGTGTCTGACTTTGCAAAAAATAGAGTTAAGTAAAGTGAAGAAATAGTTGTCTGCATTTTCTCAAGGATAAAAAAAAAAAAATTATATTCTAGATATAAACAGTTTCTACGCAGGACCTGCCTCGATCCTTTCTTTGTGAAGTTCTGTTTTCTAGTCCTGGAAGAAGGGTTGCTCAAGAGAGGTGGACCAGTCTGGCTGTGACTAAATCACCTCATATTCCTAACACCCAGAAATAACTGATGGTATTTATAGCCTCAAGTAACTGTGTGTTTCTTTCTTCCTTGGCAAAATGAACTTTGTTTTTGAAATGAGAGAGACAGGTGGTGGCCGCACATGAAATGTGTGGCCTGGGACTTACACCCAGGTCCCCCTCATGGAAAGCAACAGTTCTACCACAGAATCACCAGTGCCGCCTTGGTCATTATAGCCACACTTTATTTTCCATTTCAGAGAGAAGAAGCCAAGGCCTCACAGTGGAGACCATGAGAATCTGATGAACGTGGTGAGCCCCTGTGTGTGTGTGTTATGTGTGTGCCCATGCACATGTTCATGGGTCTTTTCAAACAGCAGCCACTACCTAGATTGTTCCACATGCTTCCTACCCGAATGAAACCAAGGGGAAGAGTTAAGCCAGAATTAGCTGTGATAGTGTGGGCTATGTTCTCTCTCTGCAGGCTTAGAGTCACCATGGTTCTAAAGCAAACCAAACCCACTGCCATTGAGTCAATTCCGACTCATAGCAACCCAACCGGACAGAGTAGAACT